CTAAAAGTAGATCTACCATTCAATCTAGTAATCTACTCAAAGGAAAAGAAGTCATTATGCAAAGAAGACACCTGCACTTGTATGTTTATTTTAGCACAATTCACAATGGCAAAGATGTGGAATCAATATGGTTGATTGATTAATTGGTGAGTGAATAAAAAATGTGATATGTATGTATATACGTATATGTGTGTGCCAGAATACTATTCAGCTATAAAAAAAGAACAAAATAATGCCTTTTGCAGCAAGTTGAATGGAATTGGAAGCCATTATTTCCTAAATGAAGTAACTAAGGAATGGAAAACAAAATACCGCATATTCTCACCTATAAGATGGAACTAAGCTATGGGTCCACATAGACATATAGAGTGGACATTGGAAACTCAGGAGTGAGGGTGAGAGGGGGATGAAAGATGAAAAATTACTTATTGAATACAATGTACACTATTCGGGTAATGGGTACACTTAAAGCCCAGACATCACCACTATACAGTTTGTCCACGTGACCAAAAACCACTAGTACTCTTAAGGCTATTGATTTTTTTTTTTAATTAAAAAGAAAGATTACTCAGGTATTGCTATGCAGAGTGAATTGGAATTTGGAGAGAAAAGCACTGGAAAGAGTGACAGAAAGCCAGGTATGTATCACAGTGGCTTCATGAATGCTGGTAACACAAAGAATGGAGAGGCAAAATCAAAGTAAGAAACATTTTAAATAATTGAAAATGGCCAGGTGTGGTGGCTCATGCCTATAAGGCCAGCACTTTAAAAGGCCAAGGTGGAAGGATCGCTTGAGGCCGAGAGTTCAGGACTAGCTGAGGCAACATAACAAGACCCTGTCTCTATGAAAAATTTTAAAATATTAACTGAGCATGATGATGCGCACCTGTAGTCCCAGCTACTGTGTAGGCTGAGGTGGGAGGATTGCTTGAGCTCAGAAGTTCGAGCCTACAGTGAGCTATGATCAGGCCACTGCACTCCAGTCTGGGTGACAGAGTGAGACCCAGTCTCTATAAATAAATCAATACATCTCTATCAATAATAAATAACTGGAAATAGTCCCACTGACTAGAGACATCTGGGAGTCATTTGTATGGAGATGTGAGTTAAATTTGTGGAGGTAGAGGACATAATCAAGGAGAGAATAAAACTAAGGAAAAGAGATAAAATGTAAAAGTAGGAATCACCTAGGCAGTGTTGATGTGCATCCATGCGGACACGGAAATAAATGGGGAAAGAAAAAGTCAGAGGGTCAAGGATAGAACATTAGACAACACTCATAGTTCAGGGGAGAGTATCCAAAAAATATTGTAAGTGAGAGAGCATTGCCCCATTACACATGAAAAAACTGAGGCTGATGAAGTAATATGACTTATATAAGGTCATAAAGTGGTTCTGACTCAACCTAAGTTCTTCTAGATGCCATTGTGTCTTTTTCCCTGCTCTTCCCAATCTCTGAGAATCAATGACTAGAAAGAAGTATACATATACAGCCATAGTCACTTCACATAGTATCAAGAGTATATGTAGGAACCTAGAATTTTAAAAGAAATGAGGAAATCTAGGACAAGACTGGAAGAGAACTAGAGCTTAGCCAGCACACACAAAAAAATGACTTCATTCTTGGTTCAAGTAGCTATCTATTGAATACTACTGTAATCAATACTGTGACTACAGTATTATAGACTCTAATACTCCTTTTTGTGACTCACCAAAAGGAGGTTATAGCAGCCCCTAAACTTAATTTGACTTTTAGATCCTTTCTTTTGTGCATATCACAGAACTTTGTTTTTAGTGCATACTTATCAGGACTTTTAATATGGTGAGCGACTATGTGAATCCCCAAAGTGGAAATTATGAAAATACCTACAAAATTCTGAAATAGCCAACCATCAGCAAGGAGTGAATTCTGAAATAGCCAACCATCAGCAAGGAGTGAACATCAAAAGAATTAGCATTACTTCTCTGGAACAGCAAGGCAAAGAAATTTATTGCACTTCCAGAAATGTCTTTCACTCCTGGATATCACCTGCCTTTTGGTAGAAATATTGGATAGGACTAGTACAGCTTCTGTGGAAAACAGTGTGGCAATTCCTAAGAGTTCTAAAAATCGACCTTCCATATGACCCCGCAATCCCCCTACTGGGAATATACCCAGAAGAACTCAAATGACTCTATAAAACAGATTCCTGCACACATATGTTTATCGCAGCATTGTTCACAATAACAAAAACATGGAACCAACCATGCTGCCCATCAAAAAAGGACTGTATTTTTAAAATGTGGTACATGTGCACAATGGAATGCTACACAGCCATAAAGAAGAACAAAATCATGAACTTCGCAGCAACCTGGATAGACTTAGAGTCTATAATACTGAGTGATCTTTCACAGAAACAAAGAACTGAGCATCACATGTTGTCACTCATAAGCGGACCTTGAACAACTATAGTAGTAATATAAGAAAAGGATCGACAGCAGCGGGAAACTGCGGGGGGGTGGGGAGGTGCGATTGGCAGTAGTCGGAATCTGCCTGGGGAAGGGTACCTGCACAGTAAATATTTGTATACCTAACCCTGAATTGTACCCCACAATTTTAAAATAAAAAAATGTTTTTAAATGTTTGATAAGTGGGATGAGATGTGTGTTTAAGCACTTGCCACCTCTTTTTCTCTTTGTTTGATAAACATGAGTTATTTTCTGTATATCCCTCACTGCAGACCTGGGCAAATAAAGCTGCTTTCTGTTCAAACATAAGGGGAAGAAGAACCTATGACTGGGATTCCAGACAAGTAAGAATGTTGTGCCCACCATGGGGCCGTGATTCCAAAGACAGACATTCTCAGAGCCACTTTTACTTTTCTACTTTTCCTGGGGGAAAAAAACCAGCCTTTTGTCTGAAATCTGCCTGGTTAACTCTGTGGCAAGGAAAACCCACTCTGGCTGTCAAGTCTCTGTCTTTGGGAATCTAGAGATCACACTTATGGGAGTACTTTGAATAGTACATAAAAGAAAGTGTACTTAGAAACTGTAGAGGATGACCTCTGTCAATTTTTTAAAATTTCAAAGTGCCAAGTACATTATTATGCTGTGAGTATGAAGAAAGTGATTACCTTTACATTGAGCAAGCTGATTCAAAGTGTACTTTGCTCTCCCAAAAGGCTGGAGGTCAAAAACAAAAACATTTGTACCATAAATATGTTGCTTGTTAGTCCCAATGCCTTTTATTTTCTAGATACCTCATTCCTTTTTAGAAACACATGAACACCTAAAGTACTATCATATGTCGGAGACCCGCTCCGACCGAGGGTGGGTTAGAACCCGCACCGGAGAATCTGGATGGAGAGAAGAGACCACTCGGAGGCAGTTCTTCTGGGAACAGTCTGATCAGGACTGAAGCCAAATTTTATTCGGACTCCTTCTAACTTATATACCATTTTCTATACCCTCCAGCAGTGTGCTAATCACTTGCTGGGGGCATACAGATTCCATGCATATCGCACTTTACAAACTATGCATCACAAGACCACCACGAGACCCACAAGCTCCAAGCAGACAATTCGAACTCCATGATGCCTGTCGTGCTTCATAAAACCCACATTAAGGTCACAGGTGCACAATTTCAATACAGATTGTTCAAAGTGTTTTCCATAATGTTCAATAAATCATTCATATTATACTCTTTGTTCTAAACCCTGATTAATACAAAAAACTTTCTAAGTTAACTCTAGGTTCAATCCAAGTTCATTGACTCCTAATATTTTTTAACAATTAATATTTTCAACTTAACACTATACTATAATCTATAAGTTTACTTAAATGACTTACCTGTTAGTTATACTATTAACCTATTATGATTTAACATAATGCCTTATAATTCAGTTAAAACTTATTCTTAAACTACCAAACTTTACTATAATTCATATGAGTTTCATATGTCTAAACTTTAATTCTTATATGATCTAGTGATTGGACTTTAATACTATGCTATATCTTATTAAGCTAATACCTCATCATTAATTCTTTTATAAATCGTATAGTAACTATTATATTTGAATAATGTAGCAAAAGGAAACAAAACAGCAAGCATAAATTTATGCAACTATGAGTGTATATGTATATATTTTATCCTAACAAGTCTACTCTAAAAATCAAATAGTAGCTGTCACACTCTTGAACAAGGAAATGCATGGCCGCCATGACGGTGGCCATGGGCTGAAGCAGACAGAGTTTCGGTAATTAACGAAACAAAAGAAAACGTTCTGCCTGGCTAGGGGCAGGGCGACAAAACTATTATGGTAATTTAGTTTCTAATCTTAGCCCTAGGGGAAACTGCTTTCGGGAACAAGAGCTGACTAACCAGTCTACCAGGAAATAGAAGTTAAAAAATATCTAGAAAGAAGTAAAACTTAGAAGGGACAAGGTCATATAAAATAATTCTGCTGTGCAACTTTCCATCAGGTGTATAGAGATTTACTTATAAGTTTTACTGCCATGTATGCACACTGGTCACTAATCACATGCCAATATTATAGGTATAACTGATATCCTATGTCAGAGGCGATCTTCCAGATGGGCCTTTACAGGCCTCAGCCATGTAGCTATAGATTTGGCTCCCAACAATCATAGCTATCTCAATTATGTCCAGTGGAATAACAGCAAGACAGGGTAATTTTGTAAGTAGTAAGACCCAAAACATCCTATTAAAGTCAGATAATGCTGAGCTATCATCACTGTTATTTAAGTCAACCACCAGCTAATATTACAAATCAGATAATGCTGATAAAATAATCTTAGTTCATAGTCATATCAGACTGATTACTCTTAGAATGTTAATGTCCGGACTGGTTACAAATGTTTCTGTGTAACACAACAGTCTTTAGAGGTCTGCTCATGTCTGCTGCCTCCAGAGATCAGATGGAGAAAAAATGCCAGTGAATGAATACCCACCCATATAAGGCCCAAGGGAATTTGATTATCTTCACTTTTCAACCTTGCAGGTTACCCAGAAGGCTCATCATCTCTTGCTGTGGAAACGGAAACATAGCAGTTTTCACATTTCCTGCATCTCTAAGACAGGTCAGTATTCTTAGGGAGATACATAAGAGTGCCACCCAGACTGCTAAGAAGCAGCTGTGGGAGCAGAACTAGCAAAGGAATAAGTTCTCATCCTGGTGAACAACATGTTAAATTCTTCACTCGTATATTGTGCACATAAGCAGAAGTTCCATATATAATTTCCCTGTGCAGTGTACTGAAAAAGATGCCCTTATTTCCTGCAAACTTATGCCTACATCACTTGGGCTAAAAGACCCCAGGGGATCCAGAAACAGCCAAATATCCCATTCAGGTTATTTGAATTATACTGTGAATTATAAACCTTGTCCCGGTGCATTCTAGGTCTCTGAAATAGTATAGATTACAAATAGGGTTGTTGGTTTTTTGGTTTTCTTTCATGATCCATTATGTCAGTTAATAACCTACTCTTACTAACAAGCAAAAATCACCCTCCCTACACACCAACCCTTCTAAAATGCTCTTAACTTGTTAACTAGTGGCAGATAGCTTTATACCTTTGGCCTAGTGAAAAGCTAAACACACTCACAGGTAAATGAACCCAGTGTAATTCAGTATTAAAAGGGGAACTTTAGTAATAGAAGTACCATGGAGCTCAAAGCTCTGATCTGATAGCTTCCAATTCTGTTCCCATGAAAAAGCTAGCAGTTATTTAGAAGCCTATCAATCTGTTCATGGGTTCTCGGGTCTTCCATTTTTTTCCCTTACAGAATTTCTGCTGTGTACAAGTGTGGATACTATGTAATACCTTGTATATACCAGACATGTTGCTATGTACTTTATATATGTGATCTTATTTAATCCCCACATCAACTCTGTGAGGTGAATGTTATTATTCTCATTTTACTTATGAGAAAACTGAAGTGCAGAGAAGTTAAATGGTTTATCCAAGGTTGCATAGTTAGTAAGTGGCTAACCTAGAATTATAACCCAGGCCAAAGGTATAAAGCTGTCTGCCACTGGTTAAAGCATGCTATTTCCACTATGGTACTACATTTAAAAACCTGACTTGGGCTATTTACTGTGCATCTTTTACTTATAATCAAAGTTTTGTGTGTTTTTTTTGAGTAAGAGTTTCACTCTGTCACCCAGGCTGGAGTTCAGTGGCACTCTCATGGTCACTCCAACGTCAATCTGCTGGGCTCCAGCGATCCTTCCACCTCAGCCTTCCAAGTAGCCAAAACTACAGGCGCACACTACCATGCCCAGCTAATTTTTGATTTTTTATTGTAGAGACAAAGCCTGGCCAATTTGCCTGGGTTGGTCTCAAGCCCATGGACTCAGGCAATCCACTCGCCTCAGCCTCCCAAAGTGCTGGGATTAAAGACTGAGCCACTGAACCCAGCCAATAATCAAAGATTTTTAAAGTCTTTTAAAAGAATTTAGTCTGTTTTCTTATCCAACGCCCTGATGAAATGTTTGATATTTAGGTAAGACAATTTGTATGATAGTAATATCTAGATTTCAGTTATCCATGGTGTTCATCTCTCTAATTTTCTTATTTTAGCATTCTGCTAAGGGTATTCTGTGAAACACTAGTACTTTGGCATGTTAACAGATGTTAAAGGGGAAAAAATTCTCTAGTGAGTAAATCTGTGCAATCCTCTGTAAAAAAAAAAATTTGAGAGTTGTCTTTAGTGTAGGAATTTTACAAGACTTTTACTATGCTACTGAGTGTTGTGACTCACCAAAAGGAGGTTGTAACAGCCCCCTAAACTTATTCGACTGTTGGATCCCTTCTTTTGTGCATATTATGGAACCTTGTCTTTAGTGAAGTACTTGTCAGGGCTTTCAATATACTGAGGAACTTTGTGAATCCTCAAAAGTGGAATAAGTTATTTCCCAAATTTGTATGACCATGTAACTTTTTTTCAGATCATCTTAAGTAAATTTTGAACCATGAAGTACATTTTTGTCATCCTTCCCTAGATAAGCAAAATTGCCTTTAAGCAATGCCTTTCCTAGGACCCTCTGTCCAAATAGACTAATACGTTGATTAATTTTGTGGGAACAAAGTCATGTTCTTATAATATCGAAAAGTGCTTGAGATCACAAGAGGGAAGTGTGGGAGAAGCATTTTAAAACTTTCAACATATGAAGATTTTTAGAAATGTATGTAGATAATTCCTACAGTGATATTTGTAAAAGCTCCAAACTGAAAACAACAAGAATATCTATTAAAAGGAGAATGGATGAATGAATTATGTATGTCCAAATTATTAGATATTTTGTACATATTTTCCTTTGAAATTTTTTACATTAAAAAGGATGAAGAATAAAGGGAATACTCATGTGTTTACAACTTATAGTTTTAAAATGCTAACTTTTTCCATTTTGTCTCAAATTTTTATATATATTGTCATAAGGTTTGCCCCCTCCAAAATGCACTGATTCTAGATGATATTTTCTTCGAAATAAAAAAGACAAACTTGGAAAAACTATTTGCAAAATATACAACATACAAAGTTTAATACCCTTAATTTACAAAGCTCTTTAAGCAAAAGAAAAACACAACAATTAGAAAAAGGACAACGGATGCAAACAGTCAACAAAATAAAAATTAAAATGAAAAATAAATATAAAAGTTGTTCAACTTCACTGTAAAGAAATACAAATTAAAATAACCTAAAATATTATTCTGTCTATTAAAACAGCCAGGTTTTGTATTTTTATAAATTATAGTACCTATTGTTGGCAAGGACCTGTAAAAATGGGTGTTCTTGTACACTGCTAATTAAGTTTAAATTCATAGATCATTTTTTGAGTGCAATTTGGAAACATGTATAAAAATCTTAAAATAATCATGCAATTTTATCTGGTAACTACTCCATTTTAAGAGTGTATTTTAGTGAGATAAACAACAATCTATACAACTATTTATCATTAATTTATTATGAGCAGAAAATTTGAAACAAAACTAAATATTTAGTAATAGAGGAATGGTGAAATAAATTGTTGCACCATTATGATTAAATATTGTGCAACCATTAAAAATAACTATTTTGAAGAATAATTAATATGGTTATGTGATAAAGCTGTATGAGTGCATTTTAAATTTAACAGTACATTTATCAGCCTTATTGAGATAAAAGTTACATACCATATACTTGGACTATTTAAATTGTACAATCCATTGGGTTTTATTATATTCACAGAATTGTGCAACCATCACTATAATTAATTACAGAACATTTCCTTTTTTTCCTTAAAGGGTTTAGATTAAGGAATAACATGATGGAATTTTTTATTTTAGAAAGATTAAGGACACAGGCCAGACTCAGTGGCTCAGCCTGGAATCCCAGCACATTGAGAGGCCGAGGCAAGTGGATTGCCTGAGCTCATGGGTTTGACAACCAGCCTGGGCCAGAACATTTTCATTACCCACAAAAAGAAGCCCCATATATATTAGCAGTCACTACCCATTTTTCCCACTCCCACTCCTAGGTAATCACCAATCTACTTTCTGGCTCTATAGATTTGCCTATTCTAGAAATTTCATATAAATTGAATTATACATGGTCTTTTGGGAGAAAATATTTGCAAATCAAATATCTAATAAGATACTAGAATGCAGAATTAAAAGAAACTCTTACAATTCAATATTTTTTTTAAAGCTCAGTTTTTTAAATGGACGAAGGTCTGAGTAGATATTTATTTAAAGAAAATATACAAATGATCAATAACCACATGAAAAGATGCTCAACATCATTAGTCATTAGAAAAATACAAATCAAAGCCACAATGAGATACTACTTAACATCCATTAGGGTGGTTAAAATCCAAAAGAAAGATAATAAGTGTTATCAAGGATATGGAGAAATCAGAACCCTCATATATTGCTGGTGAGAATGTGAAAGGTGTACTTTGGAAAATAGTTTGGCAATTCCTCAAAATGTTAAGCATTGAATTACCATATGACCCAGCAATTCTAGTCCTAGATATATAACCAAGAACAATGGAATCATATGTCCACACCAAAACTTGTCCTTGAACATTCATAGTATTATTCATAATAGCCAAAAGTGGAAATACAAATGTCCATCTACTGATTAATAGATAAATAAAATGTGATATACCCATACAATGGAATACTATTTGGCAACAAAAAGGTACATATTACAACATGGATGAACCTTGAAAATATTATAAGATTACATTTTTAATTTTAAAAAATTAAATATATAGAAAAACAGTGAAAAGAAATATACAAAAACATAAGTAAAAACTAAGTGTTTACATGGGTTAACCCTTTGTCTGTCCAGCCTAGACACTTCAACCTCTCTTTTGCCAATATTCTTATCTCACTAACTCCATTGTTCTAGCCAGCAAAAAACCCAAATTCCAGATTCAATTCAATGGCCTGCCTTCTTCATTTCCGTACCCAGGCTGCCGATGACTACTACAAAAACAACAAAATTGATTACAAATACTGATTACAACTCATTACAAACAATACAAATGAGATTACAGATTTGTGGTCTTCAGCTTCAACTGATCTGATAAGTCTTCACTACTTAGCTACTTATTGGTAGTGCTTTTTTCATTAACTACAACTTTATACATTCTTTCATATCATCATATCACTCCTGTCTAATATTATAATGAAAGTCCTAACATATGCAATCAGTCTAGAAAAAAAATAAAAGCATTGCAATTGGAAAAGATGAAATAAAACAATCCCTATTTTAGATGACATGATTGTATATATAGATAGTCCAAAGAACCTACAAAAATTCCTAGAACTATAAGTGAGTTTAGCAAATTCACAGCATGTAAAATCAACAGACAAGGATCTACTGTGTTTATGTACACCATCAATGCACATCTGGAAATCCAAAATTTAAAAACAATACAATTTATAATAAATCCAAAAAATTAAATAGCTAGGTATAAATCTAACAAATCATACACAGGATCTGTGTGCTGAAACCTACAAAACACTGATGTAAGAGACCTAAGAAGACCTAAATAAATGAAGAGACATACCATGTTCATGGGCCAGA